AGCTGTGTCTATGTCCGAATCATCAAATCTCTCTGAATCAAATCAGAGGCTTCTGAGTTGATTCGGAGAGATTAATGGGTCTCCTGGTTTGATTCAGATTCAGAGATTTGGCTGCTGAACTGGGCCAAATCTCCTCTGAATCAAATCAGAGATCGAAGCTTTGCACAGCCCTACAGGAGCCCCCTTACTCCTCCACAACAAAAGTTTCCTTCCTCCCTATAACAAAGTACCCTACAATACCCCTATACCCAGGTTTGTCATCCTCTTTGTATCCCCAGTGTATAGCTGTTCAGTTCTCATTATACTAGCCACCTGAGTTTCTTTCTGCCTTTCTTCTTCTTCTGTGCATTTAGAGTGAGGGATTTTTGTCTTGTCCAATGTGGCAATTCACATTCTTCAACCAACAGAGTGCTGATTTTCTGCCTGTTCATTGCTCTGAATCTAATCAGTTATATATGCCTTGATGAAGTCCACCAAACTGGAAAATACCACTATATCTTTGGCCAAACCAACAACATGTAGAATGTTAAGTCACCCATTTTTGCATAGAGATCCTTCACATACCTATAACCTCCCCCCCTTTGAAAATTGCATATGAGGCCATCTTACAAAATAAGTATTCAGTTAAGTAGTCTAAATGAGCTTTTATCACTTAATTTTTTTTAAATTCTGCCCATATCAAAAGCCAGTAAATACTGACAGCAAAAGACAGTGTTCATAAATTAACTTACAAGCCAGCGTTCAAGTGAGTGCGTGCTTCAGAGCGAATTTTTATAGTAGTGGGTACATAGGCAGTTATTGATATTTTATCTCTCACCACATAGTCTCCATAGAAATATGCAAAAACCTAAACAAAATAACTTATTTTACTTCTTATCCAATGATCCTGGTATCCTGGGCAATGCACACGTGAGACAAGTATCTGTTAATCATACCAGAATGTGGACTAAAAGCCTAAGTCACAACTCTGAAAAGACCCACATGGCTGGTTTCTTTAAAAAGAGATCCCAGGAGGCTTGCACTTTGAACAGACCTCCAGCTTGTATCCCATTGTATCTCTATAATATGCAAAACCATGCTAGTTATCTAATTGTGCACTCAGTACAATGGGAAAATTGTCAAATTTCTTAGGAGAGAAGTTCAGTGGAGTCCGTTGACTGCCAGACTTTGCACTTTTAATACTGTAAATATGTAAACATATTGATCTTCAGTTCTATAATCTGTCACCTTGAAACAAGGCTGAAGCACCAGATTTAAATCCTAACTTCCCAAAATTCAGAGATATTTGGATTCGAAGTTTTGATTTAGATCCAGCTCTGATAAATAATACACAAGCTAACAGTGGCATATGCAAAATTACAGAAGTTTCACCTAATCACGATTAGCAGTTTGCAATACTCAGAATAAACTGGAAAAATCAGTACTGTAGATTGTTCATACAATGAACAACCAAGCACCAGAAATGACATAGTTATTAAAGTGCTGACAGTGGCAATCACACAGTGCAATACAAACTTGTTTTTAGAGTTTTAGAGACATCATGTAATGCCTGTGAAGGCTCTCTGATGAAAACTGACCTCATCTTAACAGCATTCTCCTGAATAGTGCTGCAATTTTCTGTAGTTCATATATCCAGAAAGCAAAATAAAAAAAATCCTAACCTAAGCTTCTGGCTTCCTAAATTTTCTATATGAAATCAAGAGTATACATACATATATTTTCTTGCACAATTAGAAGTAACAAGCAACTAAGAACTAGTACTGTCAAAAAGAGATAGTAAGTGCAAAAAGTTTATGTTATTTTAGATAATTCCACACTCTTATTAGTGCCAATATGTTGTGAATATTGGATAAATATAGTTAAGGTTTCTCCTAGATAATATAATAGTACAAAGCATACAAGGTAATATTTTTTTATTTGTATCTGTGAATATAAGCAATTATTACAAGGAGATTCTTAGACCATCATGTTTTCATATTATATTCATCAATCATTTCTTAAAGATCTCAAATACTTTAAAATTTTAGATTCTCATCTTCTGCATCAAAGGCAAAATAAGCACATTCCTTGCTCTCCTCCTTCTGACTCACAGGTCACATAAAACATAAGCTCAATTCTAAGAAATTACCTAGTTCTCCCTACACTGTTTAACTTTAGTGAGAAACAGATCAGGTCCAAAATGTTTAAAGGGTTCTCTGTGAAATAATAGGACACTGTGTCAGTTGTTTTCCTGTTCTAAGTAGGTCTTTTAAAAATGCAAAGCACATTAGTCTCTGAAATACTGTTTACTAGTAACACTAGTGTTGTTTTCTTTTAATATTCTAGTTGACTTGATTTTAGTAGTAATGAAACAAATGTATAAGTTGCATACCACAGTTTCTGGTATTGTTAAACTACTATTATTCTTAAAGTGTTTTGCAGTTTTGGTAGAGAGACAGGGCTGACTTTTAATATTCTGGCATATATCTATGTACTATCTGAAATTTATATACAACGCTTACTAGACACTCTCCAGGCCTTTCTAATTGTTTTTAAAATCCTCACTTTTTCTTCTGTGTTCATGGTTTCCTGTTCTCCGTTGGAAGCTTTAGCGTGAACACTTTGTTTAATACTAGGTGTGCTACAGTTTCAATAGATATTTAGTGCCCTTAAGAGGCTCCTATCAAATTCATGCCCCGATTTCACATCATAAGATTGCTTATGCTTGCTCATTCTCCAGCTTGGACTTTGTTAGGTTCTTTTAAGCATTTTGAAAAGTTAAAAGGCCAGATTCTATTTTCACTTGCACCATCTTTACACCAATATAAATCCAGTCAGTTCATTAGTTTTACTCTTGATATAGACAAGCATGAAAGGACAGCCAGGTCCACAGGCTTTGCAAATTTGTAGGAATAATGATAGTTTTACAGCTATAGCATAGGATTCAGTGACAGAAACCCTGTCCTGACACAGACTTCCTTTGACAAGTCACTTAGGCCCAGATCTACAAAGAGAGATGCCTTAGTATGCTTATGCTTTAGTTTCTTTTTCTGTAATAGATGCCTTGCACTTTCTCATCCTTCAGGAGTTAACTTTATTAATGTTTGTATAGATTCTTAGTGCCTTCATGGGGAGTATTGCTGATGTACACAAGTAATGTAAAAGGGAATCATTTGGGATTACCCACTTTGACAGTGTCCTCTTTGGACTTTGAAAAACTAAATAATAGTAAAGAAATCACACTAAACACCAAGTCTTTGGTGTTCCCTGTTCATAAGAATGTAACAGTAATACAGTTGTTGTATTGTCAAAAGCTTATTAATATGTCAGGACCACTGAAATGAACTAGCTATATTTCTTCCTCTTCTTAATCAAGCAAACATCTCACTGATCTCATGAGGTGTTTTTCGGGAGAAAGAGTAAAAGTTCTGGTCATATTTGATAAAGTTCTGTACTTCTGTAACTGCTACAACTAATGAGGCTTACTTCTATCTATACACTGTCTTGTTAAGATGTTTAAAAAAAGGAAGAAAGAAAATGTATTTTCCTCTGCAAATGCCACGCTGCACTCTTATGCTAGCAGAGCATGACAGGAAACCATTTAAACC